CCAAGGAAAAACACAGCTTTTAAAAGTACTACAGGGCTGGGGATTTAGCTCAGTGGTGCCGCCGCCTGCCTCGCAAGCACAAGGTCCCGAATTCAATCCCCAGTGCCAAGTAAAGTACTGTGCATTGTAGGTCTTCAGTTTCTCGCAGGCCAGGAGTCCAATAGTCTGGGCAGGAAGCTTAGGACTCTATGGCCTCAGCAATTACACAATCTTCACAGTCTTGAGCATATCTGATAGGACGTATGTGTCATCCCAGCCCCTCCCAGGCTTCCTCAGGGTCTGCTCCAAGGCCTGGGCCATTTCCAGGAGCTCTGGCATGGCAAGCTTCTGCTCAGGACGCAGCTGACAGAACAGTATCTCGTTCACTTCTCCTTCAATTCGCCTGACATACAGGAGAGGAAACACCGCCTTGAGTCCAGCCAGCACTGAGTCCTTGAGCCCTAAGTCTCGGCACACAAGGTTCAGGATAAAGACACCTACAGGGTGGGGAAGAAAGAGTGGACTGACCACAGTTCAGGAGACATATTGGAGAAAAGGATCAGCTCCCAGGAGAAGGCCAATTTCTGACCCAGAAAGGCCAGTGGACTAGGAAAACACAACTACAGCAACAGTGAGTTCGTGGAGACCACACAGTGTAAAGGTACAAAGAGAAAAGTATGTGAAACATGTGAACCAGAAGAAAACTTCAGGTTTACTTCTGTGCAAACACATTACCATTTTGTATGCCTTCCCTTCCCAAAGAACGGTTTTGAGAAAGAAATAATATCACCAAGAAAGAAAATTCTACTTATTCCATAAGGATGTTTCATTTTTGACATACAGGTCATGGAGTATCTTTTAACCAATGAGAAGGCCAAAATTACCTTGTCATCCTGCAAATGAGTTTCTAAATCAACCCAGCCCACTACAGAACCTTAGAGCAAAGCAAAGCATTTAGTTGGCCATGAACATAGAGATCAAGAGGTCCACCTTTCAAGCCCGGCATGGTGGCGCGCGTCTGTAATCCCAGCACTCGGGAGGCTGAGGCAGGAGGATTGCTGTGAGTTCGAGACCAGCCTGGGCTACACAGTGAGTTCCAGGTCAGTCTCAACTACATAGTGAGACCTTGTCTCAACAAAAAAACCAAAGCGGTCCACCTTTCAAGTGACAAAGACCTCCTGGGCTGGAGTTCCAAATGTTATCAAGTGTCACCCTGGCAAGTCACTTGATCAGTTTCCTCATCTGAAAATGGGCTGCTATGAAGATTAAGTAACACATGGTCCAGGCCAGGACACACAGGGAACATTCAAGTGGTAGCCACTGTTACCAAGCTAGTGGGAATGTAAACTGCTGCAACCATTTTGTGAAACTGTGTGGCAGGATCTACAAAAGCTGAACATCCGCGTGGCCTGTGATGCAGCAGTTACAGCCCTGTGTATACAACACACGCCTGAAACCTGCAAACGTATTTCACCCAATGTCCTGTATTAGAATGGCAATGGCAGCACTATTTCCAATACCCACAAAGAGGAAACAACCCCAAAATCAGTAGTGACAATGGATATGTTAACAGTGGTTTACTAACACGATATGAATGGCAATAAAAATGAACGATGGAAATCCTGCGTTGTGGCTCAATCTCACAGCACGTTGCACAAAAACGCTTGAAGAGTATATGACATATGATTCTATCTATGTAAAGGACAAAAACAAGCAGAACTGGGCCAGGGATTTAGCTCAGTGCTCCTGCCATATGCCTCACAAGCGCAAGGACCCAAGTTCAATCCCCAGTACCGAAAAAGAAAAAGAAAAAGAAAAAGAAAAAGAAAAAGAAAAAGAAAAAGAAAAAGAAAAAGAAAAACAAGAAAAGGAAAAGACAAGCAAAACTAAGCTGTGGCAACAGAGCTAGAGTAGTGACTGATTGTGGGAGGAAAATGAGCTACAGAAAAAGGCTTAAACTTCTGGAATGCTGCACAGATGTATTCAATTTGGTGTTTGGTCCTGCTACATAGATGTACTCAATTTGGGAGAACTGATCAAGTTATACATACTTACTTATATATTTTATTAAAGATAATATTTTTTAAAGGCTGCTTCCGTCCTCCCTCTCCAACCCTCAGTTATCCATACCTTCATGAGTCAGGATGCTTTTGACCTTCTGCAGGAAAGGCTGGTCCACAAAGGCTGGGGGCGGACAACTCATTCCCAGCGTTGGGTCCTTACTGTCTACATCAAACATTATGACATCGTAGTGAGTTCTTGCTACGAAAGAAAACAAATGAGTCTTTGTCTTTGCTGAACAGAGTAACTCATCACCTCCCTACACCAGGCCCGCTCTGAGACCTGCAGCAGACAAGGGTGACAAAATCACAAGAATAACGAATGGAGTATAGTTTGTCTGTTAAGGTCGCAGTCCAGGGGAGTCCCTGTCATCAGTTTAAACTGTCCCACCGGAAGGATGAGGCCTTCCCCATTCTAAAGTAACATCCAAAGGTACAGATTAATGGAGAATAGTACATGCTCCACGTGTACTTGTTAACCCTGCAGAGCATCAGGATCACCTTGGAAAGTTTCTAAGCACTTCAGAATATGTGGGCTCTACTACTGACCAACTACATCAAAAACCCTGGCATAGGTAACAGGGTTCAGACAGGAGGGAGATGGAAGTCTGACATTTTTCTTCAGCTTTCCAAGTAATTCAAGGCACAAGCCAGGCACACACCTGTGATCCCAGCATTTAAGAGGCTGAGGCAGGAGGTTCAAGGACAGCCTGAACTACATAATGAGATCCTGTCTCAAAATTAATTAATTAATTAATTTAAAAGTACAGAGTCGAAAATCACTGATGCAGACAAAGCAGCTGACTGGGCCTTTAAGGGCCGACCCAGCATATAATAACTTAACTCTGGAAATAGCACATGTTCCCTCACAGGTGAAAATGTCCTGAAACCTGAGTCAATATATCTCTACTACTGGAAAAAGGGCTGGCTCAAGAAAGAAAAGACACTGTTACATGAGTAGATGTCGACCTGAATCTGCTCCTTCCTATAATGTTAAGTTTTTACAAGGGAGAAGGCTGGAATGCTACTCATGTTTCTAGAAAATTCTAAGGGTGTGCTAATGATGATTCAGCAATCAGTACTTCTTCAGGAATACTGCATGCCTGTTACTGTTCACAGCACAGATATAACTAAGGGTTTGTGTGTGTGTGTGTGTGTGTGTGTGTGTATTTGTCAATCCCTCTGGAGATCAGACATGCTAGGCAAGTGTTCTCTACCACTGACTATGCCACTATCCCTGATTTTGGTCACTTAATAAGAAAACGTGCCAGCTCACGAAAGTCCAAGGGAAAAGATGGCCCATACTTTTAGCCTTGAGCCTTCTAGTAATCTGAAAGTTCTGGTAGGGCCAGGGATTTAGCTCAGCGGTTCAGTGGCCTGCCTTGCAAGCACAAGGACCCGAGTTCAATCCCTGGTACCAAAAAAAAAAAAAAAGAAAGAAAGAAAGTTCTGGTAGTTAGAGAAGATGGCTAGGACCATCTAAAACTAACCTATAGATAATAACAGCAGCAGCACCATTACCATTATGCTTGGCGCAGAAGGTAGATGCCTCTGATGTGTTAGCTATCTTGGGCCTAGACCCACCAGCTGCTCTTATTGAGGAAATCTGAAAAACTGATACGGTTAAGCTCAGTCTGCAATTAAAATGAAGGCCACTATTTGTCCATCCCAGTCCCAAAACATACCCTCCAGACTTCCTGGTATGCTACACAACTCCTGGAAGACATTCTAATTCAGGAAAAAACATAGAGTGGCACAGACCAGTGCTCCAAAGCAGAATGGAACCAACCTGATTTCTTCCTCAGGGCCCAAAGTCACTGGGAGCCTGTGCATCTATATACAAAGTTGCAAAAAAAGCAGAGGAGCTCATCTCTAGCATTTTGCAGAAAATTAATGTACCTTTTGTTCTCAGTCTGTGGTACAAAGTATTACAGCAAAATGTTACTGTGATTCTAGTAGCAGGAAGGCTATCAAAATCCCACTAAGTAACATCTGCATCAGGGTTTCTGACACTGAGACAGATAATTCTTTGTCGTCAGTGGCCGTCCTGTGCATGAGAGGATGCTTAGCAGCACCTTTGGCCTCTATTCAGTGGATGCCACTGGCATGCCTCCCCCACACGATTTTGTGACAACCAAAAATATGTTTGCAGACAAATGCCCCTAGGTTAACAATGTCTGATCTACATGCATGTTGTTTTACTATATTTCTGACCTCACATCCAGCCAAGGTATTTTTACAAGAAACATCTCCCAACACACACACACACACACACACACACACACACACACACACACCCCGTTTTTTCCCTCTTCTACACCTAGCTACATCGACTTCCTTGGAATGGTGAAGTGGTAGGTCTGTTTTATTTGTTGCTACACCCTTAGCACAGTGCTAAGGATAGAGCTGACACCCTACATGTATGAATAAACATGCAAACAAAATGAACAGAGCCTGGAATGATGCTGATGCCTCCTGATAGAAATGAACTCTAGAGGCTCCTGAGGGCCTGACAACCTTAGGACAATCTCCCCAACACCCCCCAGATGCAACCACAGCAGTACCTTCTCTTCCTGCCAAGCTGCTAATATAGTCCAGGCCATCTGCAATGTGGACTTTCATCCGGTCACTCTGCGAGAAGCCAAACCACTGAGTGGCCACTTCCAACATGGAGGGGTCAATCTCCACAGCATCAATGCGGGACTTGGGGAAATGATCGTGGATGAAGAGAGGGAGACTGCCCCCACCCAGGCCCACTACCAACAATGCCAGTGGGGTCTCTGTAATAAAAGAAAAAAGCATCATTTTGCCTGCTGACTGTAAAGATTTACACCAGCCTCTGGGCAGACAAAAGAAGAAGTTAGACTGTTGACTCTGTTCAAGGATGCAAGACTGAAGGACCTGGTCTCCTTTGTCCCATTCCAAGAATATAGGAGTTCACTGAAATCTTAAAATTCAACTTTGGCTTCATGCTGACTTGATCCAGAAGATAAATCAACGTTCTGTTACTCTGGCATATAAAGATCTCAAAGCAGGTGATGAAGTATCAAAAGTCCCATAAGAGTTACTAGATAAACATCCCAACCCAAGAAATGGAGCAGCAATGGCCAAACAATTTTATTCATGATGACAAGGCAGTACACGTGTGATGGCCCTCACTTGGCTCTTGACTCAAAAGGCCATAACTACCTTCTAAGACAGACCTACCACGCAAGGGGAGCCCATCTAAGAGCATAAACCATAGGAAAACAAGGCCCCAGCCCTGAGCAGAGAAACCATAGTAACTACAGGGAGACTAAAGGAAGACAAGAAACAAAAGAATCACTATAAGGAGGCAGACTCAATAAATTTAAGAACTGCAACATGGAGATGTTAACACCAAGAAAGACTGAAACTACAAGATGCTCCAATGAGGCATACTTGGGGATATCAGCTGAAGACAGTCGTAGGTGTAAAAAGAAATCTGAACATATTTGCTAAAGTGGTCAGTGCCAAGCCCGTTATTACTGAGAGGCCAATCAGTGCACTAAATATATTAAAGATTCTTTACATAGAAATTCAAGGATTATATCTCATGCTCAAATAAAACACTACTGAAAAAAGGCTGGGGATTTAGCTCAGTGGCACTGTGCCTGCCTCACAAGTCCAAGGTCCTGAGTTTGATCCCTGGTACTCAAGAATCAACCAAACAAACAAAAAAACAAAAAGCAAAAAACACTATTGAAAAGCCACACATTATCCAAAGGCAAAGAAATATGAAATTTAAGTGAACCATCTAGTTAACACGCGTATAAATATATACATATGTATGTAATCATCAAGCTGAACAATTTAAAACCTGGGTCCTTTACATATCTCACTGAATAATACTGTATCTTAATTTTAAAAAGAAATGAACAGAAGAAAAAAAATTTAATCACCAACACTTGTAATCATTTCAAGATTTCACATTGAGGGCTGGGGATTTAGCTCAGTGGTTCCGCTGCCTGCCTTACAAGCGCAAGGTCCTGAGTTTGATCACCAGAACCAAAAAAAAAAAAAGATTACACGTTGAGGTAAAAGTTACATGAATGAACTGGCAATGGTAGTGCAGGAAGGCTGAAGCAGGAGAATCACAAGTTTGAGGCCACCCTGGGCAACTTAGTGACTCAGACCCTGTCACAAAATAAAAATGAAAAAGGGCTGGGGATGTAGTTCAGTGCAAAGTCCCTAGGTTCAACGCCTGGCACCACTTAAAAAAAAAATTATGTTGATGCTCGTTTAACTTAGAAGATAGCTGGAATAAAGAAAGTATATATGTGCATTTGTGAGTTTATAGTCATTATTCTCAAACTACAAAGCAACTCATCTACGTCCATAATCTTACACACTGTCTACTGTGAAGGCAGTCGCGCACCGAAGCAGCTCCGGGTTTCTCAGCAGGGCAAGGCCGGCAATCATGGCTTTATGGTGTTCACAGCATAGGTAACTAATATCAATGGACTGTCCTGGGGCTGGAGGGAGGTCCTCAGAAGTCTCAACAGACCCCCGCTTCTTCTTGTCCTTTTTCCGTTTCTTCTGGGCTAAATGAGAGATTCAGACTAATGAAGTCCTATACTTCTTACGATAATTCTTGCAAAGCAAGGGTTACCAGCAGCCATGACTTGGCCAGACTTGAGAACCAGGTGTTAAATATATAAGAATATTACAAACTGGTTGACATCATATTCACAGCCCAAAATTGACCATGGAGGGAATATTTCTATCACAGAAGTTAGCAAACTACAAATCAGAGCGTCCCCTCTCCCTGAGAAGGTTATTTTAACATTCAACGTACACCACTGGATTCCAAAGAGTTGGGAAAGGAAAGTGGCAAAAGCGCACTCAAAAATCTAGGAAAACTCAGCCAGGTGCAGCGGCACACACCTGGAATCCCAGCTACTTGGGAGAATCACAAATTTGAGGCTGGCCCAGGCAACTTAGCAAGACCCTGTCTCAAAGTTAAAAATCAAAAGCACTGGGAATGTAGCTCAGTGGGAGAACACTGCTGGATTCAATCTTCAGTACCATTAAAAATCAAAACAAAAACACCTTGGAAAACTCAATGAGTAGGAGCAAAGTTTACTCATAAATTCTTTTACAGAAGATGTAGTTACTAAGTCCCTTTTCTATGCCAATTATTGAACCAGGAATTTTTGTTTGTTTGTTTGTTTGTTTGTTTTG